AAAACTGAGTTTTATGAGCATAAATGCCATTAACGCAAGATCACAATAAAAGAACAAGAATTAAAAACCATAAGATATTGATTGACATCGTACTTAAATTTTTGAAGATCAAAGATGATTGGAAAGCAAGAAGCCATAAAAGTTTTCCAAAATCTAGAATTGCGATCGAACCATAAAAATTACGCTTATATCTAGGCATGTCGACTGCAAAATGTTCAGATTTTGCTGTCAATCGAGAACTGCGCTAAATCCATAAAGTCGAGGTATCTTAGAAGAAATTTCTTCAGAAAAAATAGCATGAGAATATTTATAGAAATGTTAGAAGGAAAAAACATTACAGTGGTGGAAAAGTTAGTGAAGCCGAGATGACAGGTTTAAGACCAATGACATTGCAAATTCTTCTTTGGATTTTAATGACTCCTAGCATCCCAATCTTTAAGAAAAAAAAAAAAAAACATTGCTGGAAGTAATAAAAATATTTCAAATCACAAAAGATATTTTTAAATATAACTAAAAAGCACAACAAGCACAAACACGATACCCACTGAAATTCGAGGGTTATTTTAAAATATTAATGTTGAATATGGCGTGTAACTCGTGGGCAAGATGAGGTGGGGAGACGTGAAATTTGTCGGTATAAGGGATATAGATAGAGATTGGGTTTTACCTTAAAGAAATTACCATTTTAGTGTCCAGAAAGCATCTAAGCGAGAGTTTATTCCAGAAAGTGGCAATTCTAGTGAAAATGCTGAATGGAAATGGCTCCTCAAATTTCAAATGCGGTGGATATCGAGGTGATTCGGTTCAGGAAGAATCATGGAGTTTGTCTCTTGTAACTTTCTGAACTGGTGGAACTAAAGTAAGCGGACGTAAGACTTCTGAACATCTGTCATGAAAGTGAATGAAGAGTTTTATTATTACTAATTCTTCCATTTTACTTTTTTAGAATTTTTTTCACAATTCTTTAATGACTGTCGATTTACGATTGCTTATTTTAATTTTGTAATGATGTAAAATCTGCTGTAAAAGAATAACAAAAATTACAAGAAAATTTTCAGTTTTTTTTAACTTGTGGAACTCCCTTCCGGCTCGATGCTGTCCAACAAACTTTAATCTGCATAAATCTAAATGTAATGTCAAATGCTATATACTGTCCTCCTCAATATTTTGTTCTTTTTCCGCTCATTATTAATGTTTCTGTTCCTAATACTTCCACACCCAGTAACCCCTTATGTCCTAGTGGCTTTACTGTCTTGCTTGGGGTGAATTCGATTAAAAAAAATCAACTTTTGTAATTCCATAAACATAGGTAAGTGAGTTTACTTATATTAAAGAAATACAATTTTCCGACATTTTATAAGATATTATTGAATAGTTTAAAAGGTAACTCTTATTTCTACATGTATTTGAAATGGAGGAGAGAACAAATCATTGCCGCAGACGATATATTTGGGATCACTGCTATTGATTTCATTTTGTTACACTGGTTAAAGGTGAATTCAATGTATAGTTTGTATATTTTTAGCAAATATTATTCTGGTTGGAAACAAAAAAATAGACGTCTGTATTGTTAATTTTAAGCTTTATGAAAAAATATCACATCAGATTTTTCTATTGTTTTTTTTTATTATTGAGACAGAAATATATCATGCTATTTTATCAGTGGCATATTGCAAATACACACAGTCGAAAAACATCAGAAAATTCTTAGTCTTGATTCATTGGACATCACACACCCACACGAACTATATATATATATATATATATATATATATATATATATATGTGTGTTTTTATATATATATATATATATATATATATATATATATATATATATACAGTGGATGCAAAAGTAATTATATATTAATGAAAAAGTGGGCACAATACGTATTGATTAAACTATCATATCATTAATAACATATCAATATTAAACATAAAAAAGATATAATATATCAATCACTGAAATGTTCAAACTGTTTGGCCCCATCATTGATGACCTCCTTTTTATGTGCAAAACATTCATCATTATTATGTATTAAAATACAAAAAATATAATAAATGTATTATAAAAAAAATATGAAAATAAAACAATATCAAAAATGATATTAATGAATTAAATGAATTCTAGTATTAAAGGAATCATAAAACCATTATTATGATACTGGGAATACTGGTATACTACTTACTGCATATATATTTTTGCAGCTTCTGTATATTTATTTTCTTCACAAAAGACACTAGAGTGGGAATTTTAGTTGTGGTCGGTCATTGTTCACCGGAATTTATATATATATATGATAGTAAGTGAAGTTTGTCCACGTATGTTCCTTATAATATATAGATAAAATACGCGGGTGAAAAGCATTTGAGAGATAAAAAAAACAACAAAAATAATAATATTGATAAGAAAACAAATAATGGGTATTATATATTAATAGGCCTTTTTATCAAATGGTAGCCTGTAGGAGAAACATTTTTAAAATCGGAATTTCCCTGTGACCTTTCTCAACAAGACGAAGAAAATTGAAAAATGAAGTAGAACTTTTCCGGGGAATTTTTATTTTTTTTATGTGTTATATTACTGCTTGTATCAAAGGTGTGGGCAAGTTTGCAACGATTAGTGTTGTGGAGTTTTTGTAGAAGACTTTCTGTGAAAACGGTATTACTAAGTTCCTGATTAATCCTAAAATATTTTCCACAGAAATTATGTTATTTTCATTTTTGCGTAATTTATACATCACGCCATATCTATAGTTAATTTGTAAGCGTAGGTTACATGTGACACAAGACCGAAATTGTGGATCTCCCAGGGAGGATCAAACTCACTACTCAGACGGATTTGTTCTAACGAGTCAAGCTTGCTGACCAATATACAAGGCCGAGGTTCCCATCACACTATAAGTGTGTGCGCGTGTGTGTGTGCGTGTGTGAGTGTAAAAAATTCAGATAGAGTATATCTGTAAAAGGACAAAATGAATAAATACAGACGCATAACTTATCTTAGCCTACGAGTTTCGTCCTCTCAAGTTTTATAAAACACTTGGGTTGATGAAGTACGTCAGAGCAAGAAACACGTCGGCTGACACGCGCAGGCACAAATATATATATATATATATATATATATATATATATATATATATATTCGAGATGTGTTCTTTAAATGATGCCCAAATAAACAGAAAATTGCATAAGATTTTGTTATGGGAATGGGTATGTATTTTTGTGTGTACACGAAAGTCCGATTATTTTTAATTGTTTTATACACAGTTTTATTAGAATTGGCCATTTATACCTAAAAAGAAAAGAAAAATTAAAATGCTGAAATCGATACCAGAAATATACCACGTACATATATTTCATCCACACACACACATATATATATACGCGAAAGAAATTAGGAGGACTTGAGATAATTACTTAATTCATCGAGACTAGAAGGCAGATTAACAGAAGGCAGTAAACACTGGGACTCATCAGCAGTGCGCATCCACTACCGAGAATTGAAACCCGGACAGTTACGCTATCAGGCAAACGCAATAACAACTGTCCCAACGGTGGATGACAAAGTGGTAGCGAATCAGACTCGATATATCGCCTCTCGATCATATATTCCGTGGTAGAACTCATCAGAGTTTCTCTTTTACCCATAGAACTGTGCCCCCACCCCACGAGTCACGACTACTAGCCCCAAGCCGCTCACTCCACAGAATTAGAAGCCGGTTCAGTCAAGGATATATAAGTGATAGAAATTAGGAGGATTTGAGATAATTATAATTAAGTAATTCATCGAGTCTACAAGAAACCTTAACACACACACACACACACACACACACACACATATATATATATATATATATATATATATATATATATATATATATATAGAGAAAGAGGGAGAAGGAAGTGTTTTATCATCTCACACACATATTAACGCAGATACATGCATACAGACACATACATGATTGGGAAAAAATACTTAAAAAACTTTACTCAACGCTAGAATACAATATGAATATAATTTAACTAAACTTACACAAACAAAATCGGACATTCCCTTTCTCACCACTCGGAAACAAATAATTATTGTCCCTAAAGGAATGTGGTAGGTTATTAATATATATTTTTTTCCACTATGTTCAACATCTCACATCCCTTCCAGCCACCACGAATCACAATTTGTAAATCTAAGGTTATATTCACATAAGTTTCGCACAACGAGAAATCAAACAGGGAACGGATTTTTTCTAACAATTCCACCTACAAGCAGGACAATACCCAACCTCAAGAACGAATCTTGGATAGTCTCCACTGCCACTCTGTTTATTTCTCGCATCCGCTGTCGAAAAACATAGGCATGAACATGGACCCTAAACACTCTCTCTCTCTCTCTCTCTCTCTCTATATATATATATATATATATGTATGTATATATATATATATATATATATATATATATATATATATATATATATATATATATATATATATATGCTTGTATATGTGTGTGAATGTATTCATGTGTGTATAATATTTTTCTTTATATTTGTTACTGGATAATACAAAATTTCTACATATATATTTATATATATATATATATATATATATATATATATATATATATATGTGCTTGTATATGTGTGTGAATGTATTCGTGTGTGTATAATATTTTTCTTTATATTTGTTACTGGATAATACAAAATTTCTACATATATATATATATATATATATATATATATATATATATATATATATATATATATATATATATATATATATATATATATATATATATATATAAGTGAACATAGAAGTCAACACTTAGAGGCGACAGTCTGTTTCATGCTAGATGCAATCGTCACACACGCTCTATCTCTGATAATGAGCAGTTTATCCTGAGTATAGCACATCTTTAGACTATATTTCTTCATTCATATATATATATATATATATATATATATATATATATATATATATATATATATATTCATATATATATATACGTACAGAGAGAGAGAGAGAGAGAGAGAGAGAGAGAGAGAGAGAGCGAAGGGTTTCATCCTCTCAAACACACATAAGCACATATACATTCATACACCCACCCCCATATATATATATATATATATGCGAGCGTGTTTATGCTTGTTAATGTATGTTGGTATGCATAATATATTTTCTTTAGATTATTTCTGGAAAATAAGGAATTCTACATATTCAACTTCTTGCATATATGGATGCATTTTTACGTCCATATTCTTATTTCCGTCCATTTATAGAAAGAAACTCAGAGACACATACAAGTAAAAATAAATGAACGCACGGTGAGAGAAAATGGTTTGAGCTTGAGTCAGTAAATTCTTTCCAAACGCAAAGTTGAACGTCCCTACTCTTCTGGCATTGACGCATCAAACCGCCAAACATAGAATCTATGAGTAACTAACAATAAACAAGGCAAATATCAAAAGTGGTACTTGGCTTTATCTTGGAGAATGCTTTAAAGACGACGGACGCCTGGCCGCTCGCCCAAATCTATTGACTTGCTGTGCACACACACTGCCAGAATACCATGGTAACAAGATCATCACGGCAAGACGAGGGCTGTGGCGTTGATATGGCCGTGATCATAACTGCTTAGTGGATATCGAGCTAATGTTTGGGGTTTCAAATAGAGGGAGTGTGAGATGTCTTGTCTAGAGACAGTAGAATGAAATAGGACAATGTGTTTGGCGAGAAAATAAAATATATGACGCAAAACGTTACTCCTCTTAGATTTCGTGTACATAAGATTAGTTTGTAGATGAATGTAAATGTATGGTTTATCTGTTTCCCAGTGAGCACTGAAGTCTATATTCATATATAGATAGCGATATATAAAAACTTATATGCATATTGATAGAGATACGTCCAAAGTTTCCGTAAAAATGAGAATACATGATGAAAAAACACCTACGAATTAACAAAATATAACGTTTTTTTGGCAAAATATTTTTGTCATTGCTACGAGGAAAGTTCAAATGATTATTTTATTTAAAAACTTTTTTTTAATCCGTTTCAGAACTATGGAAATGTTGGTTAAAAAGCTGGCATAAACGTGGGGTCATAAATTTGTAGGGAAAATTTGAACATCTTTTTGCTGCGAAAAACATATTGATTTGGAAGTTCTTGCAAAAAACGAAAAAATTGTCGGATGCTAATGTAATTTTCCAGATATATTGAAAAATGTATGATAATAATTTTTGTACATTTTCTTCTTTTAAAAAATTTTGGTAAAATATTTTTGACATCTTTAACCTTCCCTTATTTAATATTATGAAATTTTGTGAGAAACTTTTATGTAACGTTTAATGTTTAATATATTAGTTATAAGCACAAGCCGTTGGGGAATTTAAATCATCAGACATTTTTGTCAGAATCTCTAATGTTTTCCTCATATGTAGAGCCTACTCTATAACACTATATTTTTATCACACACACGCACACACACGCCCCCACGTCGTAAATCTTCAGGCGAATGGTATGTGACTGGTGATTAAATAATTTTCAAAACTTTCAAAAGCAAAATGTTAACTTTTTTCTCAAAGATAAAGGATGATGGGAAAACACGTGGTCAGAATTAAAAATAGAATTGTGTGTTTGTCTTGATCAACCAATTAAATGTCAGATCTACGTTAAATAGATGATCACAGCGTGGAAATGGAGAAGTTATTCTTTTCATGACATGATAAACCGGAACTTAGACAGATCATCATTGACAATTACGGAAAAAATGTCAGCATCACTTGTGATATATTGTTCTACTTTGCACTGAGTACGTTTTTATGAAGCACGGTTTTAAAAAGAAATGCTACGAACAGCGGAATATTGCTCCGTCTGTTCTTTCTATCATTTGTACATATATATATATATATATATATATATATATATATATATATATATATATATATATATATATATTTCTGTATATATATATATATATATGTGTGCGCGCTCATATGAATGCAAGAGTTTGTCTAATGCAGACCAAAATATTATTTGAACATTGCCCATGGCTATTTATTACATATTTTATATTGGTTCACTTTAACAGATATTTTATGTGTTTTAATTATAAATGAAATGCTGGGCAAAAATTCGAGCGTATACTAAAATTGGTAAATGCATCTTTTTTAATTTGCTCTCAAATTAATCTGCAAATATCTTGTATTTTTAAAAAAAGAAGCTTCTTTCTTAATGAGGTTATATTTAATTATCAGAATTTCGTTTTAGCTGCGATTGAAATAAAATTACTCTAATAACCAGAAGATGCCATCGTGAACGCTACCTCCATATATACACGACATATTCGATTGGTGTAATTACTGAATACATTGAGATTTCATATATGCAGGCGTGTGTAATGATATGCAATACATGTTAATCATAAGGATCCCCAATATGGGATCACTGAAATAATAATGTTTGCAAGAATTCTAGGATTTAATTTATTATACTTCTATATTGGCATAAAGTTATATATATATATATATATATATATATATATATATATATATATAGTTATGA